TGCTAAAACACTATTAATTTTACATTTCACTTTCAAAGATGACTTCAACTATTGGCAGCACTCAATAAAAGGTACATTGTAAGCTACCTCAAACTAGATTAAACTTGAGAAACGGACAAAGACATTTATCGTAAAATAAATATTTTATGCAGGAGAACTAATCAACTTTCGGAGCTTTGTCTAAGTGTATGACAAGTTGACAGTTACTGTAAAATTTTGCATACAAGGATGGTGTGCACTGCTCCTCTGTATAACAAAGAGTTCTAAAAGTTTGAACTACTAAACCCTTATACAATTATAACTGTCTAACTTTTGTCCTAGAGTTACAACTGTCATCTTGTTATTATACACTTGGATAAGCAGAGTAATCACCATTAAAATCATTACTAAAGTTAGCTATACCATAGATATAATACACAAATGGATGTCAAGTAAATCGTTAGATTATCAAAGCAAACCAACAAGACACTGATCTGTAGGTTTGACATACAGACTAGAAGAAAATACTGGAACAGCTTATCAAACTAATTATGACTGTGCAATACAACACTAGGGTATTTTGGCTTTTAAAGATTATCTGTTTAGAAGTAAAAGGCACAAAGTAACTTTCAAGTCACACTCAGGTAATACAATGTCAGAGAACATTCAAAAATTTAAAAATATCCATTCTTTATAGGAATAAGCAAAGCTCTTTGATTGACACACATTAATGTGTAGATCAGTTTTCAAATATTACACATGCTACGCCCTGAGGTGGTGAACATCACGCTCATACAATGTAGATGTTTTTTAAGTTGGAATTCTCACTTCATCAAATGGGCCAGGATGGTGAACCTGTTAGACAATAGAAAAGTAAATTTAAAAATCTCTTACAACATTTATCAGCAAACCCTCAACTTTAAAAATCCAATCTATGCTTACATTTTATCTGCTCATTAACGTTTGCTGCCCTGTTTTGGTTGTTGAACTTCTAATTTCTCCTGACAACTGCACGGTCCTGAATTCGATCAGAGAGCAGCACACAAACATGTACGTAGAGAGCTTCACCACCACATCAACTGCCATGATGACGGTGGCATGATGCTCTTCTACATGAGTGGTTTCCCCTATCTGGAACAGTTGACAAAAGAATGAAAAAGAATGAATAATTTCTAAACTTAAAATCTACAAAAGGGGCCTTAAGAATCTTGAGGGATTTCAGATAACACTTCTGTTAGACCAGAAATTATTCACAATACAGAGAGCACTAGAAATATTCTATCACAATGGACCTACAAATACTTAGAACCCCAAATGAGTAACACAGTCATTA